CCTGAACATTCCCTAGAGCGGCTAGATGTAGCACCATGGGCATGACTTCCATAGATGCGTGATCATCCAGAAAGCACTCAGTTCCATCAACTGATCGGACACCTGCTGGGCACACCGATCTCCGTTCCTTGGACGCACACCGACCCGTTCCCCGTTCGGGTCGGGTGACAGGACCGGCATCGGTGGATCCAGAAGGGCTGGACAGCCATACCTTGTACCGACCTCTAGAGCCGATCTGTAGAGCCGATCCGAATGATCACTGAATGATCCAAGGCCTGGAGCCTAACCATCATCCACTGAGGCCCTGGTACTGGGATAGAAGTACCAAATAGTCAGCACTGGAGTACCCCTCCTCTGTCTGGATCTTCCAGACACCCGTGGTGTGATGAGCGCTGCAGGTGCACCTTCAACCATGGCGATCCCAAGCAAGGCCTTTACTACCAATACATCATGCGGCGAGTAGCTCGCAAGGACGGGTGTCGAGGGGAGACAATTGTCTCGCTGGACATGGAACACTCCCCAGGTTTATAGCATTATATCTATAACGGTGGGTTCACATGGTGAGCCAGGAGGGGTTCAGTCGCGGTTGAGAAACCTCACCTTTTTTAAAGGGCTTAGCCGCGCCATGCAGCGCCTCTTCATGTTTGCTAAAGACACTTCAAGTACATGTTTGTGCGGCAGTGAAAGGCACTGCAAGGAATCGCCATTATCGTAGTAGATTCTAGTGACTGAGTCAGAATGAAGGTTCTATTCTGCGTGAATTATGGCCAATCCTCCTGAAGGAGGTTTTTGAAGGTTTTTGCACATTATATATATATATACATTATGTTTCAAGCACAGCAGACTCATCACTTCCAAACTTAAGATGCACTAACTGTACCAACTCCCAATCCTATCCACTCGGATGAAGATTTCTTTTGCCTTTTTTCAGCTCGCCCAAGGCATCAGAGTAGGGTCCTGTTTCCTCGCATCTCCTATCTCGTAGTTTTCAGTCCAACGGCGGGAGAACGTCGAGCAGTCGTCGAGCCGTGGGGAGGACCAGTCGTCTCGGTGCCGTGTTGAATCGATTCTGGATGTGATCTGGATCCAATTGGCTTCTGCTCGAGCCTGATCCCTCTGAAAGACCGTAGAAAACCCAACTCCAACATGCAAGGGGTGCCCATGACTAGGATCTTGGAACTTGGACCCACATTGCAGTGCAGGACTCTGAGGGAAACTTGGTGAAGACGGCGGCCTATCAAGAGCCTCAGCACATTGAGTTTGGTGAGGCCTCAGCACGAGTCTGTAATAAATCTATTTCCTCCCGCAATAACCATTCAAGAATGTACGCATGATGAATATCCAGTGCTGGGTCGCTGCGGAGCACCCTCCGGAGTGCTGGGTAAATGGCTGTCAGAAGACGTTGCTTCTGGAGACATGGACATTGGGCGATCAAGGGGTATTTGGAGGGTCTGATGAGTTGTGCCGGATACACAGTTTTTTCAGAATGCCATGAAACGCAACTGAACAACAAAGGTCTTGGTTCTGTCTTGGTTGAGGCTCGAAAAAATACAGTGTGTTTATGTAAGTCCCCTACAGGTCTCCCAGTTTTTTAGTTTAATGTTGTCTGCCAAGCTACCTCAAGAGTAGATTGAGTTGTCGTGCGGCCGAAAACTGTCGCAAAGATGTTTTTGTTCATTTGTGAATGTTGAGAGTTTGACGATGTTGTGAGGAAGTCCTATTGCTTTCTCGTGCGATTGCTAAAATTTGATCAAATTCAATTTGCAATTCAGATTCAACCTTTGAGTCGGACGTCGGATGCCCTTTGAGCTGATCGTTTCGGGTCACCAGCCATCGGTTCGCAGATTCACCAAAATCTGATGCTCCCCCTTTTTGGAGAATCTACGAAAGGAGAGCCTGGAGTCTGTAGAGAGCCTGGAGGCCCTGACCAATTTTGGAGAGCCTGGAGTCTGGTCGACTGACGAACTTTCACGGCTCGTTGGTGACAAGTATTAAGCAGATGCCGTGATAGCGATGTTCCGTTGGATTCTGGAGACGTCACATCCTGCTGCGCCCTGCGCCAGCGGTTTGGCCAGCAGAGCCGAAAATGGAGCCAGGTGTGCATGTGGCGATGTGATGTGTGAAGAAAGAACTGGTGATACCTGCGACGTCGAAAAACGGTGAAGTGTTGCGCAGTCATGTGCAATCAAGGGCGTGACTTGTCAGGGTTCAGTGGAGTTCCCTGGTGATGTCCGCTGTTCATGCGCCCGGAGTGACCCGTTCACACCTGGTGTTCACCTTTGAAGCCACCTGCAACAAGTGGAGCGCCGAGCACTCGACTCCGGTCGAGGCCCGCAGCCCGCCGCGGGGTGAGGCTATAATAGGCTATTGGCCTCTTTTTAGAGGAACCAGACCAGTTGGGAAACAATGACAGACCAAGGGGCACGACAGACCAAGGGGCACAGCTTGCTGACTGTCGCCAATATGCCGCACTGAGGATTTGCTGGAGCGAGCAACACGGCCTTACACAGAAGGTGGCCAGGGCGTTTGTTGCAATGCCTTCCTTTGCAACGTCAGTGATGAGCAGCTTGGCCAGAGTTGGGTGAGATTCGTTCTGAACGAGACTCCCCATGTTGCCATGGTTGCCTTGTTTTGTGCAAGAAAACAGACTCCTGGCGACAGGGGGAACCAAACATTTGTGGTGTCAAATTGTCAAATGGTGAATGGTAGATCTTCAGGGGTATACCGAAGTGTGTTCTAGAACAATACCCTTCATGCACACACACACACACGAATGAGACGGACAAGTAATTTTCTCATTTCTCTAGAGGCACGTGGTTGAACTTCGGAGCGTTCTTGCACAGGAACTATGGTCTGGTCTACGACGCCCTGACAGACGTTCAGCTTCTGAGTTCAGGCCAAATGCTTCCAGAGCAAAATTCGCAGGAGATGGAGATGATCAATGCGAGAGCGGACGTGGAGATGGGCTATTATGACCAGGTGATCACTCAGATGTGAGGCAGAATGTGAGAGAGACCCATGGGATGAGAAACATCGAAAGCCGAGGAAACAATGAGAGACTGACTAGAATACTATGTTTACAGGTCGGGGACCTGATGCGTTTTAAAGAAATCTCCCACTGGATGGCTCAGCGGGCCAAAATTTTGGACACCAGGCTGGGGGCAGCATATCGTTGTCGTGAAACATGTGCATCGATCGATGCTGCGGGGAAAACCTGGGGCTGCGCTGCCCCCACCCTGGCACAGTTTGAAGCTTTGACTCAAAGCCTGTGAGCTGCTTCCTTTCTGCGGCAGTGAACTTTCTGCTTAGATTTCCCAGGCAAAAGTCGTAATGGGAACTTCACGAGGTGGGGGAGTTCTTGCATTGAATTGCATACCTAAAATAGAGAACCCGAGGGCTCGCCCTTTCTTTGGAGCATCTTACCATCCGACCTGTGGCCATGTCCTATCAATTGTGTCAATCAGGTTGTGGTCGATTAGTTAGCTGTAGTAATTAGCTACATGTGTCAATCAGGTTGTGTCCTTATTTTGTTGTTTCACTTTTTTTTTTGATTTGAAGATAGAACTTCCAACGCCAGTAACTTACGGATCTGTGGTTCAAAGAGTTGGGATCTTGTGATTCCTAGCTCTATTGACGTTTCCTCTTTAGGCGTAGCTCTATTCTGACCATGCTCGGATCAAGATCCCAGCTCAGAGACTGCGTTGATCATGTTTCCTTGTTATACTACCCGGAGATGACACAGGAGTAAAGTGAAACATACATGCGGAAATGAGTCTTCCTATCTCATGTGTCCACAGTTTCCCTAATATCTAGCTTATCTTCCCCTAGTATAACTAATTGTTTATTACTCCAAGTGACTTTCGTTGGATGCCGGGGTAGTTGCCGGGGTGTCTGACTGAGGTACTTTCAGATTTTGGTGTCAGATCTGGGTGGTTCAAGGCTTTGCAACACTCATTCGACGTCTCCGACCGACGTGTCCACTTGGTTGAGGGAGATGCCAAGCAAATACAAGAATTGATCGCTAGATTCCGCAAGTCGCAGACTTATACTTGCCCTACTTTTGAAATGAATCAACAAACTGTTCACACCCAGAAGGACTGCACAGAACAAACCGCCATAGGTACATCGAACACCGGACCGGATAGCCCGGATAGCTCCCTTCTCTATGTCCAGTCCCATGGAATGTTGATGAATGTTGGCTGCATCAAGCGATGTGACCTTTGACTTTAATAGCAGAAAATGTTGAATCCCCAAACCATGTATCTTGTGTGGACCTTGCTGCGAAGGCATCCCCAATGTGTATGACATATCGAGTATCGAAATGCATGATTGGGTAGTCTACGTTTGAACTTCCCCACTCACTCCGCCTCAATCTGGCAGAATATTTTCTGTGTCACTTTTGCCAAACAAGCCTGACTATGCACAAATCCGCAACTAGAAAAAGTGCCACACGGACAGCATTTTGGCAGGACATCACAAAGTCAAAGCCATAAGTTGAAGCTGACATTCTGGGGTTGACCCCCACATTATTGAAAATGACAGTCATATCAACGATTCTTCATGTTTCGCAGCTTGTCTCAACTTACAGTTATTTGGTATCCACATGAAGAACCATCATCATCAGCACAGAAACACCCTCATGTTTGATCTTGTAATTTGTGTGATACAAGTTTGGCATCGAGACCTCTTATGACCCTTATGGGCCACTTATGGGTGTAGCTTCTTTGACTCGTGGTTTGAACGAAGAAGTCCGTCCTCCAAGAGTGATCCCGAAGGCAAATCGCCAAGAAAAAGGACCTCAACACGAGTCTTCCTTTGACATGAGTCCTCAGAGTTGTAGTCGGCTACAAAACACGAATTTGATGCGGGAAACACAAGTGCACCCAATGTATCTGTTTGATCCATCTCCCAAGCTGCACCTCTTTCTGCACTTCCGCGAGAAAAGTTCTGCCCGTTTCACGAAAGGGACGACTGTGACTCGGCCGGACCATCTTCCCCAGGTCGTTGGGGACAACTTGTGGATTTGGCGGGCGGACCACGCCTTTGTAGGCCAAGGCGCGAGGGTCGGCCGAAGCGCGGCGCAGCGCGGATGCGGCCATGGCCATGCGTCCGTTTGGACGGAGAAGGGACGAGACCTGGAGGGAGAGGCATTGGCCGAAAGCGAATCAACGGAAGTGGCATAGCTATATATGCATAGTTAGGTGGTTTACCAAGAGATGGAGTTGGTAGGTCTGTAATGGTAGACCGGTCGTGACAGGTTTCAGCCAAGCCATTTTGATCCAATCAGATCTTAAACCTGGGGGGATTGAGTCGTTCGATATGTGTGAGAATATTGTGAGAACAAGCATTGGACATGAGATTGTGCTGGATTCCCAGCCAATTCAATCCAATTCAGTGCCATGATCGGCCGATCGTTTAGTCTGTTTCTCGAACCCCAGAAAGCCTGGCTAGTGCCACCCAGTGATCTTTGCATCGCGATGCCACGCGACATCCCGCGTGCCCATGCGTGCCCCGAGATACGCAACCAGATCCTCAAAACTCCTTGCTGCCCATGAGTGGCCGAGCACCTGACCTGAACGAGGGAAGGGTGGGCTGCGTGGCCACATGATGGAAACTCCTTCATATACGGAGATGCGATGGCGTTGTTCGAGCAAAATCATGGCTCTTAAGAGCAAAATCTAGTATGGTCGGTTGAAGATGTTGGAACCAACAAGTTTTGGGGCTGATCCGAGAAGAATGGACACTGAACTTACTGTAATCGATTGATGTTGCCACTTTTGGTAGCGGTCCTTGATGGTCCTTGTCAACTTCTCAACCGACTTATTCATTCACGGGTGGTCGAGCCGTTCAGAGTGCAAAATAAATAGACCATTGGGAACACGCTTGGAAGCTTCCACCTTCTCTCTACAACGATGAGTATCATGACTTTCTCAGCGATGCGGGATTTTTGTTGCGACAGTGTGATGTCCAAGTCCCATCGTTTTGGAGCCGCAGCGGACATGGCATGGGTTTTGCTGGATCGGATTGGACATGCAAAACTCGAGGTGTGGGGCCAAACTCGATCTTTTGTGGGAATGTGATTTCTTGAGCCATAACAGCCATCAATAAGTCGACAAAATTGACCTTTAGAGATGAATGAGAATGGGTGATGAATGGGTGATCCATTTATATTCAGGTGAGCCTTCAGAGGCGGATCAGTCTTTGTCTCCATGCTCAGGTGCCCAAGGCCAGCGAATACTACTTGACGGCGGCCGGGGACTATCCCGCCAAGACACTGGGCGTTTTGGAAACGGCGACATCGTCGCTTGGAGGTCGCCACCGTCGGACTCGCCTGTGCTTTGAAGAACTTTTGGAGGAAGGTTTGGTCGACCCAGAGCCTCAAAAGTCAAACACTAGATGATGACTCTTTGTGACCACGTGTTCATGTTTCACGGACCTTCAGCTCATGTGAGACGTTCCTGGCAAGAAAAAAATGGATCCTTACCACCCACTAGGGGTCAATGTGTTAGCTAAAATGTAGCTCGTGTTCCTTCCTTTTTCAGCTTTGATCAGCTGTGGCAAAATCATATATCCTGGTGCTCAATCACCAAATCCACTAGAATCCTCAGCAAGTCCTCCAGAAATCCTACTAAAAACCAATAAGAACGTCCTTTCACTCACCATGCACCACACCTGCCTTAAGACGTCCTTGCGTCTTCACCTCGCCGTCGGCCGTGCCCAGGACGGGCCTCGAGGTCTTCGGCGATTTCGTGACGATCTACGGGTGCGACGACCGAGACGAGCGAGACGAGCGTGCAGACGATCTCGTGTCCACGGGGCGAGGTCTGAGATGAGGGACCCAGGGACCGGATCTTATGTTGACCCCCACTGGGCTACCCGACCGGATAGTCTCGGCTCTTCAACCTCTGGAATGAGAATTCCACCAGGTTCACATATTTTTACGGGCAGAATGGTCTCTGGCGGCACCCAGAATGGTCAGGGGCAAGCTTGCCGCCAGGTCTTGACGAGAGGTTTTTCAGTGGCCACTGCATATGATGCTGCATATGTTTGCATGGTTGTTGGGAGGCACAAAGATACATTGATCGACATGTGGAATGGTTGAACAATGAGGAACAATGGTTGAACACAGACAAATCTACCCCAATACCATCACACAAGATCATGGTTCACCTCCCCCCACAAATGGCAGCTGATTCCAAGGCAGATGGGGGGTAGTCACTTCAAACATCTTAAAGTCTTAAATCATACGGCGCACGTTTTGAGACCCAACGTTTGGCCAGCTTGACTTTGACAGAGCGCAGGAGCCTGAATTATGACCTCAGATCTATGCCAGTTGTATTTTGCGCTCGATTGATTAATTAATGTCCCCGGTTTGTCGCCGGGTACACCAGTCACCCTGCCTGAACTGATATTCCTCCAGAAACAAATCCATGGATGAGCAACAGTAGCAGTGTGGATGATCAAGAGTCGTGTTTAGGGTTGAGCAGAGAGGCTGTTGAAGTTCAAGACCATTCTTCAGACCCTATGGATCCACATACCTTCTCAGTTGGACCCTCCAAACCTACACAACAGTGTCTCCATGTTTCTTGCTGTTCAATGGAGCCACCATCTCCCCCTACAGGTCCAGTCCCCGTAAGGTTCTTCACCTCCTTGAGCTGTTTTGTAACCAGTTTTCGTGAGGTCAAAGTGACCACAAACTGACCTGTTAGGCAAAGGCTCGTTTTATAAAATGGAGGGAAATCCATGGAAATCCCGATTCCCTGTTAGGGAAAGACTGACTTTAAAATCATTCCCTGTTAGGGAATGCATTTGTGTGTTCTTGGAGCATCAATGTCCTTGCATTTTGATGACATCTCCCCACAAAAACAACATTCTGACGGGCAGTGGTCTCCAGTGCGGAGGCTGGCTGTGGAGCATTTCATCGAAGACAATACCATTTGGCACCTCACTTGCTCTATGTGACTATGTGCTGTGCTTCGTGTTTTGCTGTAGACGGTGCTTGTTGCTGGATTCGGAGTTCCGATGAGGAGGGTCTTGCAGGACATATAATATAGAAACATGGAGAGACCATTCATTCCAGTCATTCACGGTTAATTGTCCATCATCCTTTCTTTGCTGATAAGTGATCTCCTTTAAGAAAGCAAAAACACCGAATCACTGCGCGATTGAGCCTATCTGAGCCATCAAAGACATCTCTTTCGGGTAAGAATCCGCAGCTCGTGCTGCTTTCCCGCGATGCGCCAGCACCAGTGAATTCAGATGAATACCCTTCGGCAGACCAAGATCTTCCGTGAAGGTCGGTGACTTGCAGTGTTTCTCAGTCATTGAGGTGATCATTTAGAACCAAGAACCAAGAGTATGATGTGCTAACCGGTGTTGCCCCAAAGTGGGGTTCACCCAAAGTGTTCCTAGTTCGGGTGTCACCCAACATGGGGGGCGTGTGCTTGTAAAAGAGTCCTCCTTGATTGGTGTGTCTTGCCCGTCCGCAGCCAAAGCCCAAACCAAACCGACCGAACTGACGGAACCGACAGGGGGAAATGGCATGTGAACAGCCCAGCATCACCCAACAACAAGAGAATCCTTTGTGTCTTCTATGTCGATCCACATACCTGAAGGTGAGCCACAGATTCTTTGTCCATCCAACGCTGTTCAGTACACATCTATCTTGCCAAAGCCAGGACCTGGTGCTTCATCTCTCAAGATCAAATCTGGTGAAACGCTCGCACTCGCTCTCTCTCTCTCTCTGTGTGCACACTTTTCGGGACCTGAACGAAGGGCCGCCACCTTTCACAGCGCCGGTGCATCGCGCACGGTGCATCGGGCCGACGGCGGCGACGGCGTGTCTCGTTTTGGCCTCCAGGCACGGCGAGGCAGGGCGGGTCTATTTCTACCAGAACGAACTGCCCTACGACGTGGACCAGGTGCGGCGGTGCGGTCGCCTGACCACGCGAACCCATGGCTTTGGCGCCAAAGCCAGCACCAACACGCGGGCCTGGCGGTGTCAGAAGGGCCTCAAATTGGAGCATCCGTCCTCTATAATTATATATGAGCTACGGTCAAAACGTGCGAAGACCACTGTAGTAAAGAGGGGTAGGTTTGTGCACAAAGCCCTGCAAAACAATTAGGTCCACCTCAAAACCTATGACCCGACCGCTGTATGATCACAACTATGTGGCGAACACAAAACACTGTAAAACGATCTAGGTCCAATTCAAAACCGATAACATCCATTTTTTAGTTGAAGAATAATAAGACGACAGAGTTTTGACCGTCCCTCGTATATTACACCTGTTTTTAATGTCACATCTCATCCCAAAAACGAAGGCTCATGATCACCCCCATTTGATCCCCTGTGTTGAGTTAAAGGATCTCAAACCATGAGAAACGAAAGGGATTGGAGCACATGGTAGACCAGTCAGGAACCTTCACAGATCGTCACATCGAGGTGCTGGCGTGGGGGGACCACCGACTCCTTGCGGGAATCATCCATGGCCTTGCAGGCCCTGGACAGCTTCTTCCAGCATTGTATCATCCTCATGGGTTCGGCAGGATCACAAGGCTTCTCAATACTCCGGCGCACGGCTTCATCTGCAGGAAACCCATGTGTTCACCCTTTCTTTCTCTAGCGCCAAAAGGTCTAGCCTGTGGCTATTGCACCAAATTAAATTTCTGTTGTGACATTTAGAGCTGCAGCACAAAAGTGCCCATAGGGGCATCGACATTAAAGTGTGCTACCAGTTTAGTCGTAGCTTCACGAAACCAATCTGGTATTGGCTCTCCCGTGTCACAGGCGGGGGTGGCGTGGCGGAAAAGGGCTGCAAGCACTGAACAGAAACCACTAGGGTACTGCTTAAGAATGCTAGTTTGCCAGGTCCCATCCGATCCTCGCCCAATACGGCTGGTCATAGGAAGGGGTGTCGTGCGCCCTTCCATGAAAAGCCGTTTGAAGTCTGGGCATGTGTTCGCCAACAACAAATCGGTTGGCTTAGGAGACAGTCCTCCACATCGCCCTTGCTCGACTCTTAGTTTGAAACCTGTGGTAAATTTCAAGAAGAACTCAATTACAGGCAATCGCCATATTGATGGCAGCTCGCCATCCGGCATGGCTGGGTGTTCGATGACAGCAATCGACCCGCTCATGATAGCGATCCAGAACAACTTCAACGCCACAGCCAAAAGCTGATTACCAATGGACACCTGTTGAGTTTCCCGTTTGGTAAGGTTCTGAAGCCCTTGGGGTCTCGCAACCGACCTAACCGGGCGGGGTCCTCCATCGATCTCTGCAAATCTGGCCTTACTCCACGTTTCACATGGAGGTCCTGCAACAAAACCAGTCAGCGCTCCGCATCTCAGTGCACGAGCGAAGAGTTGCAGCGTCTCTGGCTTCAGGAGGTTGCCATAGCAGACGTCGAAAATAATGTCCACGGAGATTGCCTGGAACCCGGCTCTTTCCAAATGGTCTTGGAGATCTTCATGGCGTCTTTCACCAGAAAATAGGTGAGCCACAACTTTGGGAGTATAGTCCACTTCTCTGGAGACCTTCCCATACAGATCATAAAAAGACCAGGCGGCTCGTTGGAAAAACTGACACGCATTCTCAGCAACAGTCTCCGTCTGAAAGTCGCCAGATAAGAACCATTCGACGGATGCCTTGCTCGTAAATTGAGCAAAGACAGTGAGTTCAGCAATCAGTACATCTTGGTGTGACAAGCACCATTTTTCACTCCATTCCGTAAAGCACGAGAGAATCTCTGCGTGGTGCAGCGTGGTCTCAAGCGTCGCGAGTCGGAGCTGTTCCAACCAATAGGACGGACTGGCTCGCTCACATGAGGCACTGTCCCAGCTTTGTTGGAGTTGTCGAAATGCTTGGTCAATATATACTGGAGCACAATCAGGCTCAGGGCAAGTCGGTCCTTCAGCTTGCATATACGGTTCCCGGAAACCCTTGCGTTGCTGGTTTTCCTTCTTGCTGTTTACTCCTGGCTCGCATGGAACTTCCAGTCCTCGTTCTTGGTAGAAGTGGAAACATTTGACTGCTCTACTGACATGATTTATGAGGTCACTATGCAAAGGATATGTTCGCAAGCAGGCCTCACACGTGGTTCCACTTACATATCGTCGTGCAGGTTTTTTTCTCTGGTGCTTTTTGAACGAATGGACTGAAAGGTCAGACTGTCGTTGGAAACTACGTCTGCATGCAAGGCAGTAGAACTGTCGACATGAGTTAACAACATTGGGCAGAGCAAAACCTGCCCCAATGACTTCATGCATAATTTCTGACTGCCATGTTAGCCACTGGAGGTCAATCTCACGGGTGGAAATATGCCTGTTAACTGCAGCTTTGATGAGTCTCTTCCATCGTGCGGGTGATGACTGGACATGTGCAGCAAAAGATTCCCAACATAGTGTAGAAGGGTCAAGATCAACTTCAGGACAATGGGAAACCAACCAGGCAATGTCTGTACAGAACCTGGTATACCAGTCATCATCAGCCTGCAGGAGGCCCCAGATGTGAGGTTGCCCTCCTTTGCACAGTTGCAGAACATATCGTAACCGTGCTTGCCTCAAGGTGATTTCAGGCGCAGGCAATCTGAAGGCGTTCAAGACCTTATCATCACTCCATGTCAATGCTATAGACCCGAAATGGAGAAGGCAGACTCTTTTGTACAACTTCATGAAAGAGACATGCAGCTGTTGAGTCTGTCTGCGATTCCTAGGCATCCAGGCTGCAGCATTAAAAGTGATGGTACTCAGTATCATTGTTTGGAAAAGTTGTCTTTTCTTTTGGAGTGGAAGCGCTCGGTTGGAGAAAACTGGCCCTTTATACTTGGTCAACAGTTCGTGTGCAGCAGCGAACTTGGTCCGTGCATCAAGGGCGATGCCTGCTCCTATCTGAATCCAGGTTCCTAAGTGTTTATAGGAACCAACGAGCCGTAGCTGGTAGTCATCGAATCTCGACGGTACCAGCAATGTGTGATCCTTGTGGCACATTTCACACCTTAGCTTCAAACTATTAGGTCCGCGGAGGTCCAAAAGCAACTCAGTCTTGCCAGGACAAAAGTTGGGCTTGAGGCCTGCACGAAGAAGCCCATCAAAAAGCTCTCCACTGACATCTTGGATAAGAGGCAGCAGCTCATCTGGCGTGGCAGCTGTGAAGGCAAAGGCAATGTCATCTGCCCAGATCGGTACAAGCGGCCCAAGCGGACAATGGTCCTGTGTAGTGCGATAGGGACATGCATTCCCGTCCCAGCTAATCTCGATCTGGGGATATTTCTCTCTGGCAGTCTCAAGGATAGGCTTCAGCAGCTGTGTCAAGGTGAAGGAGAAGCAAAGGTCTGCGAAGCTATCTCCGGGACGGCTACCCCTCCTTGACTCGACAACAGTGTGGTCACTTTTGACCTGAAACCATGTGTGGGCGTAGAACTCTTTGAATAGCTCTTTCAAAAAGAGCGGTGTCTGCGCTGCATCGAGTGCCGCATCTTGTGCCAGCAAGCTCTGGAACTCATGAAAGGTGGCCGGTGGAAGGCCAAGAGTCTTAAAAAGCTCAGCAGCCCCCCGCCTATCAGCTTGCGGCGCTACTAAATGCTGGCGGACAAGCCTATAAAAGGCGTTCGTGACATCAATGAACAATAGTCCAACCGCTTTGTTGGCTTTGACAGCTCCTCGATGGAATGATTGCAAGCCATGTGCGGCTTGAAGAATGCTTTGCCCCGTAAGCCCTCCTATCTGGAAGGGAAGGCGGGTATTCTCAAAGACATCCATCAAGTCATTCCTATAGATGGAGTGTACTGTCTTACCTATGACCGAGCTAACGAAAAGAGATCGATAATTTTCGGGTCGACTCGCATCCCCTTTCTTGTAAACTGGTGCTAGGTATCCACCTTTAAAGACAAGCGGTTCATGGAGGTAGGCGACTTGCTTACACATGAGAGTGTAGTATAAATCAGTCATTTGCTTCGGGGCCAGTGCAAGCAACTCTCCCGGTATTCCATCGACATAGTATGCCCTGCCTCGAGCTGTACTACGAAATTTCTGCTCAACTTGGTAGGCAGTCGGCAAATTCTCCCAGGAGATATCACACGCAGCCGTCCTGGATTGCGCAGCTTCTTCAAACAGCTGGGCGAAGGTGGTCGTCTTACCATCTTCTTGGGCTGCAAAATATTCACGCCAGCACTGCTTATGTTCTGCTTCGGTGTCAAAAACATGGCCATCAATGTCTCGCAGCAGCGGCAAGGGTTGGATTGCAGAGACTTTCTTGCGTCCCCCAACCCCAACTGAACGCAGGGCTCGCATGAAGTCACGTGGTGTCATGCGCTGGGATTCATTCGCCAACACTTCAAGGGCAGTGACCCTATCTGCTTTAAGGCCTTTGGTGAGCTGTTTGGTCGTGTCAGCAATGGTCCTCTGGATGGACACAATCTCGCGCAAGGAGGCAAAAGCTTGTCCGACATTGAAGGACAAAATGCAATTTGTTCGCCATGCTTGCCAAGCAGCATGGATGGTGAATCTTCCTAATTGATCTTTCAGATTGCGAATCTTATCTCTCAATTTCAACCTGGCACACCGAATGTTACAAGTCTCAGAGGAAATGTAACTCGCTCTAGGTTTGGACTGGCGAACCGGAAAAACTTCCTGGAGGTTCTTTTGCACCTGTGTAGACAGCTGCATAGCATGCACATCAGGGTCTTCTTGCCAATTGGGAACTTGGATATCCCGAAAGACTTTGTCCAGCTGTTCAGGTTTGGCATTGAGTAAAGCATCTCGATCAAAACGATGCGAGAAGCCTAGTGCTTTGTCAATCTTCAGGACAATCTTACAATCAAGTGCCAAAGGCGAATGATCAGCTCCGGCCATACTGGTATCAAGCGTATGTAGGACCTGGGTCCTGACGAAGGCTTGTCCCCAAGCAAGGGGAATGGCA